ACGGCAAACTTTTTTTGATTGCTTGTGAGGCTATACGGTCTAATGTACACCCTAAACTATTATATTTAATTGAAAACAATTTTTCAAACCTTTTATTGAATTTATTCCTATCATTTTCTTTTCTTTTTTTCTACTTTCATATACAATAACCATTTCGGACGACCAATAACAGGAATCAATTGCGAAGAAAATGTCGATGAGTGTATGTCGAATCCATGTCAAAACGGCGGACATTGTCGTGACCGGAACAATGGCTACACCTGCACCTGTCAGCCGGGCTACCTGGGCATCAATTGTGAAATCGATGTGGCGGTCTGCAAGACGGGTAAGTGTAGGAGTGGACAAATCAACGCAGGTGAATGCCAACAAATGGAAAATTTAAATTTTTACAAACACACTAACGTAAAGGGACACTTGAAAGCACGCAACCACATTTACGACACCAATATAACCAATGTCCACCATATTGAACGGCATTCACAAACAATCAAATTGACACAATCGAACACACAAACACCACGTCTCTTAACTCGGACTCCTCTATATCCCCCTCTCTTTCTCTCTATTTCTCCTTTGTTGCAGGTACTGGTGCGCGCTGTCAGAATGGCGGCGAATGCATCGAGGGTCCCGGTCTGGAGTTCTCCTGCGAATGTACTGCCGGCTGGCATGGACGCATCTGTCAGGAGGAGATCAACGAGTGCGAGTCGGCGCCATGTCAGAATGGCGGTGTATGCGTGGACAAATTGGCATCGTATGTGTGCGCCTGTCCGATGGGCTATACGGGGAACAATTGCGAAGAGGAGATATTAATTTGCGCCGACAATCCATGCCAGAACAATGCGCTCTGCCTGATGGAGGAGGGCATACCGACGTGCTATTGTGTGCCTGACTATCATGGCGAGAAGTGCGAATATCAGTACGATGAGTGCCAATTGGGACCGCGTTGCATGAATGGTGGCGTATGCATTGATGGTGTTGACACGTTTTCATGTTCATGTCCGCCGTTGCTGACAGGAATGCTATGCGAGTGCCTAATGATTGGCGAGGATTCGTTGGACTGCAATTATACTGCAGCCATATCGACAATGCCACCGACAACAATGGTGCGGCCAATAGCTGGAACAACCGCGGCGACAGTAACAACGACAACGGAGGCGGCGACACCGCATATTCCCGCGGTAACTGTAGTGACTACAACGACGCCTGCCGCGGGGGTGGCAGGTGTGTCTACTTCCGTTGAGACTGAGGAGACTGAAGAGGAGCATGGTGAAGTGGAAGTAAAACCACCGCCTGGGCCGGTTACGACAGCAAGTAGCGCCGCCGCCTCCACCTCCTCGGAGGAGAAGGTCCACACGACAGAGGCATCGCGTTCGTACACCGCAGAGTCTGGTGGCAGCAGCGTTGATGTGTCATACTCCTCCGAAGGAAGCGCGTCAGTTGAAATTGGCACCTCCGATGAAGTGACGCGACTCGACGTTAGTAGCGGTCAGGAGGTTCCCACCACCACAGCCAAGGTGACGAGTAGTGGCGTGGATGCGGATTACACACCCGGTTCATCGGCGGTTTCAAAGAGCGCAGAGTCGGGCGAACGCCCGACCATCACCTACTCCACGCGTCCGCCATTCAAGCACTATGTTACGACTATCGAGACCACTTTCTCCATCGACATCTCGACAGCACGTCCCACTTACCGGCCTACAGCAACAATACTATTCCCCAGCAGCACGATGCACATACTTCCCGAATTCGCCAGCAAGCACATACCCACAGCTTATCCCGAGTACCCAGATCACGAAGCACCCACCACACCACATCGCATTTGGACGGCGGACAAGGGTGTGACCACCACAGCCGCGCCCTTCTTCACCGAATACCCCGAAGTGTCGGTTACCACTCGCTACAAGGACTTCACCAGCAAAGACTTGAGCACAGTGACAACAGCGCGTCCAGGCGCAACCTACCCACCGCCAACGCTGCCGTCAGCAACGCCAGCCATCGTGCATGGTGGCACAACATTACCACCGCACATAGGCGGCGATACTGTGTCGCCGACTGCGACTCCAACCGCTGGCGTAACCGTCGAACGTCCCATTCATCATCATCATCACCATCACCACCACCATCACACTACACATGCGCCGCCTACCATCAAAGAAGACCACACGTTGCCGGCACATACCACACATCGCGGCGGCGTGCCAACAACATTGTCACCAGCTCCACCGCCAGCTGTAGCGGTGACCACAACGCAACCGCTGTACACTGAAGATCTGATTCGGCCCACTACGTCAGCAGGCCCGGCTACAACACCAACTGTGCCTCCAGATGCGCCAACAAGCCTCGCACCGCCAGAATCCGAGTCGGCAGAAGAGACTACACAGTCACCGCCACCACAACCACCAGAGCCTGCGCCATCTTCTACACCTGCAGCATTGCCACCAACAACATTACCACCACCGACATCGCCGCCGACCACCACACGCATTACTGTGGCTACTTACCCGCCGCCAACTGAGCCGCCAGCTCCTGCGCCGGGTACACTGGCACCAGCGTACACCACATTGCCGCCGGCGCCACCACCGACAACACCACCAGCTCCTTCGCCGGCGGTTTACAGCACTTATGCGCCGGCAGGCAGCAAACCTGGCACTACAACAGTGGCGAGCAGTGAAGAGGTTGAAAGCTCAAATACAGTGGCAACGGGCGGCGGTGGCGAAACGGGAGTTGCGCGTGGTGGCGCTGGCGGTGTAGATAATGCCACCGAAGCGGATTGCATCAAGGTGGGCTGCTATAATGGTGGCACTTGCGTCACCACTTCCGAGGGTTCCAGGGTAAGTGCAGAAATAAGGAGTGATTACTTATATAATGAAGTGAGAATGTGAGTGCGCGTATGGGTGCCAGACGAAAGAGGTTCAAGAAGGTAGTATTTAAAATATTAAGAGGTGTGTGGCCACCTGTTTTAAAAGTCGAATTTAGTCAACATATACAGAAGTTATATAAAACGCTAAAATGGGGTTGTCAAACGAACGAGTCTTAAAAAATATTTAGTTTGAACATTTTACATTTTTTTGGGATGTTTGAAAAGGGTTACCACCTGATTGAAACGTTAAATTCAAATTATTTAATAAGACAAATGAATTAATAAAAGAATGGGTATCAATGAGCTTGAAAAGGATTTATTTCATAACTGTATTTAGGAGAGTTGCCACGTGTTTAAAAGAACGGCGAGTACATAATTGAAATATGTATCGGAATATCAGGCTCAGACGAAAAAGATTTAGACAGGTTTTTTTAAAGATATTTTGAATAGGGTTGCCACATGTTTAGAAATTTATTTTAAATATTCAAATATGAGTGTCAAACGAAATATTGGTAAGAGATATTTGATTTTAAAATTGACAACATTTTCCAGATCTTTGAAAGGGTTGCCACCGGTTTAGAAAGTTAAGTTCAAATTATTTAATACGTTAAACGAATTGTTAATGGAAGTGGGTTTGGAAACGCTTTATTTCTAAACTATATTTAGGAACGTCGAGTGTTGCCACGTATTTGAAAAATAAAATTAAACTTAATTCATCAACTTAATTGATCAATGAAATATGTATGCCAATGTCAGACGAAAGAGATTCATTATCGAGTGTAATAATGTGGAAGTTTCAGGTGGCTAAAAATTACCGTTGATTCTTCAGATTTTTTTTTGCCGAAGGTGTAGCGGTTTTTTCGTTATACATATGGAGGCAAATGAAAAAAAAATATCTAAAAAATTAATGGTAATTTTTAGCAACATGGAACTTGCACAATATTAGACTAAGATTAAATGGGCAATAAGATTGTATACTTAAGAAAATTCTAACACTTCTGAAAAAAGTTTGAAAGTTTGATGAAGATTTTTGGCATTTTTTGGGTTTTCTATACAATTTTTAACTTAAAATATTATCTGTTTTATTGTCCGATCAGTTCGTAATTTATTAAATATTATGTTACC